TATAAATCTTTGCCATCCACTATTAAAACAGTGTTCGTATGAATCCCATTGTTCGGTACGTTGACTTCACCGAACGAGGGGCTGGTTGGCCCCTCTGTTCGGGAGGTACGGAGCTCTGGAGGACTCAGCGGTGTTCAGGTAATAGAGTGTCCGATTTGAGTTCCAGACACTCGATGACCAAACACCGCTGAGGTTTAGTGAGTAAGATGGCGGCTGCCATGTGTTCGTATGCCGAACGGCGGCCACCTAGATACAGCAATAAAGTAACGATTGATTTGCGGTTAGAGAAGTGTGAAAGCCTAATAAGGTACACACTTCTCTCTGGGGTGGTCTACTGGTTCAGTAGCTTTCATTCGTATGGGATACGGATGAAAACTACCGAACAAACATACAAATAATACATACAATGTTAATTATACAGGGAAATAAAACACACAAATTGCCTTTTTAACCTAACCCTTGAGGACAGTCCAGTGCCATTCGCTACAGGGGGCACCCTCTGCCAGGAAAACAAGTGTTTTCCTGGCACTATAGTGGTCCTTTAAGTCTCTCTTTACTAGAACTCCACAGCAGCACAGAAAAAACAACCAATCAGAAAAAAGTTACTTACTATAAAACTCCTCTCCCCATGCATCATTCCCTCTTTCAAGCTGCGACAAAAACAGAACAAAAGGCAAAAATATAATGGGAAGAAACAAAGTCCTAGATACAATGAATACAACAATGTCCACCATCCGAGAGAAGAACTGCCAAACCAGATAACGTGATGGACTGTAGACTGTAAACTGTAAACTGAAACGAGAAACAGAATCGAACAGGTTAGTTAGCCAATGAAATGTACCCTTATCAAACATGTAGGTACCCAATGTAGCAACCAAAAATACCTTAATATGTAGATGTCCCAACCCTACTTGTGAAACGTAGACATAAGAACAAGTGACAGGTAGCAGAGACAACAAGCAGAGTTGCATACGTACCTGATGAACCCAAACTATTAAAATTAAACGAGGGATAAGAATTGGACGGGAAATATTCGCCTCCTGTCATTAAGAAAATTAAGAATATAGGTACACTAAAGCTAGCATAATCTACAATTTTATAACATGACAGGAGGCTTCGTATTTGCTGTTTTAACGCTCAGTCAACAAATCCAACGCTGTTTGTTTCGCTGGTACCTATTCCGGGAGATAACCAGAGCAATCCCCAATGGGCCCTCCAACTGCGAGAAGTGACAGTAGACGGATAAATTAAGGTGCTAGCTGTCAATGTATCCCAAATACGGGAAAACTCCATTCGTTGTTGGATTCACTGTACATGGGATTATGATACGTTTCCTAGTAGGCGAACCTGAACTGCAAAGCTGATCTATTAGCTGTTTCCCTGTAGTTGTAAAACACAGAGGGTCCTCCGTGGATTTAGGATTGAGAGAAAACTGTCACCAGATCTCGACCTTTGATGTGGGAGATGGCTCCTTCGATCGTGTCGGGATCACTAGGTGAAGTGGTCTTGTAAATAAAATTCCAACCTCAAGTAATGCATCTGAGTCTACCGTCATTTCCGGTAACGAACTGAATAGTCTTATCGTTCTCTCATGATCCACCTGTTTGGTCCGAGAATGAACCTATTATGCCGGCAAGAGTGCTACCAGTACTCCAAATGGACTGCGTAAACCGCAACTGTGGTAGAATAAGGTACTCCCCAGGGACGTCCAATCAGAGTCCCAACACTGAACTAGCGTAGCGAAACGAACGGCTAATCTGGGGAACTGTGCATCCTGGATATAACCAAAAGGGGGAAACAAAACTAGAGTATGAGATTTCCCTCCAAATATATCTTTGTTGGGTAGTGACAGATGGTCCGGTTCCAAGGAAAATAGACAAAGAGTCCTCCATGCTTATCGCGTTGAGAACCGCAAATTCTTCTAAATTGGTTCGAAGTGTAGGCCGGCTGATGAAAAACAAAATGGCCCTGGTGAGCGGGTCTGGAGTTGGACTTCCATCTGCGAGACTGGCGCCTGATTAGGGGGAGAGTGAATAATCCGATAAATCATCTATACGATCCTGTTCCATGTCCCACCTGTCAAAGTTTGTGGAGGGACTCATGGTCAGCATGCCACTTTCAAGACCGGGTATAATATGGTGAGACCTTAGGTCCCTGTATCACTGACTGTCCGGGCACGTATCTTCCCCGAGTAGGCCCTAGGCCAAGGGACCCAGGAATGTGAATCCGAGAACCAAACTATAGGAATACCTCCCTTCTTAGCCTGGAGTCTCGAGAACCCATAGCATTCTCAAATATGCAGGTAAGACTAAAAGTCCCTTCACTAACGATAGGAGACTCCCAAGAACTGGAATAGCGAACCAACAAGGTCCCAGCTACAACCGTCTGAAGCAGAGGCCGTCCAGTTTGGGAACGTCGGCTGTCATATCTGAGCCTGCTACCGCTCCAGAGCATTCCTCCAGCAGTAGATTGCGCCCCGACCTTGTGACGTCTGTGGTCATAGGGTCCAAGCAGGCCTCCATGACGGTAGTTGACTAGATGGGTTAACAGAAAACCACAACAAAGACTGTTCCCGTAAGGGACAAAAGCCTAGATAGAGGGTCTTCCATAACTGAATCATGTTCTCAGAGGAGCAGAGGTAGTCCTGTCATCTATCCCAAGATTGTTAACAACCAAGATCGACCGAAGATTCTGTTCTTTCCATGCGGCCTATGTGTACAGTGTACCTGCAGTCCGGGTTGTGGGCCTTCCCCAGTCTTGTCACATGGGTAAGACAGTGCACGCTTGCTCTATGAAGGCCGCAGGATCTCCTGTCACCCTGCCATGGGTAAAACCAGTCTGAACCATTAGTACGCAATGGTCTCTATAACCTAGACAGAGTGTGATTGTTTGTATGATATAGCGTAGATCATACTAAAACCTGCACACTTGTAGTAAATCAAGGCACCTCCGTTGGCCGTACCTTCTCCAGGAATATATCCAATAGGAAGGTATGGGGTCATGTGGGGATATTTATGGGATAATAATAGTAACAGTTGAGAATTGCCCACTATTTCAATTCTCAGATCCCAAAGAACGTTTATCGTGTTAAGTGGAAAGTATTTCATATAAATAATCACAATGTATAAAAATAGATTTTTATTTATATGACAAATTAATAATAGTATATGTAACATGCATAACAATAATCAATGAATATTCAGTACAAAATTATATGCAATACAAAGAAATGGGTATTACGTTTCAATGGCTAACTAGCATTTTCTGTCAAGAATTCTGACGATTTATGACTAGCTTCAACACACTTAAAGTGAAACTTTTCACAGTGAAGAACAGAATTCCTCAGAGTGCAGCGTAAGGTCGTAAAGTTTAGCAGACAGTTAGAATAACCCTTTCAATGCTGGCTAGATCTCCTAGGTAGTTAAGATCTATTCTTATGTAATTTTAAATAAAATAACATTTAAACCAGTTTAAATTCATTTTCTTAAACCATCCAATAAGAGAATTTACCACATTATATAAGCAGATTTTTAATTTGTCTAAAAGATATCTATCTTAATTTAGAGCAAATCAATACACCTGGATAAAAACAGCTGTATGCTAACACGTGATAATATCACATCAATATATAATTATTCTTAATTCCACCTGCAGAATGGAATGTTTATAACTATATATTCTTAGTTAACTAAGATTTCTTAATATGGAAATCTGACCGTGCTTTATCCAGTCATATATAATGTTATTTGGTCTGTAGAGGGCAGTCTTGTCCCACTAAACATACCTATCCAGGAAAGAGTTAACTTTTCCTGGTGACTATTTTAACGTCATTTTGGCCTATCTAGATAGTGGCTATAACTTACGTATCCTTCAAAGATCAAAGGGGTTCTTAAATTTTGTCCAGACTATGTGTCTGCAAATCTGCTATAATTTCTGATATGACAGATCATGAACTAAGTTTACCCTTTTCCATACAATGGTACCTTATATATATAGACAGTTAAATATTACATTATTTAATCTTCTCTGTCACAATTGTCTGGGTTTAGATTTGATTATATTCTTCTTAGCATTAGACAGTCTGTCCAACCCCCTTCCTTATCACTTGTTTGTATATACTATGCATTCCTCAGCTCTGGGAAAGTGGTTAGCTTACAGATAGAAATATAGTGTCTTTCTGTTAACTTGAAATAACAAAATGGAGTCTGGTCTGTTCAGAGTGACTCAGAATATACACTTTTAGTTTCTATCATAGCACAAAATGTCTGCCGATATAAATACTCTGACAGTCACCAACAATATTGGTCGAACCTGGGAGCTGTACCCAGTTCGAACAGCCCCTACGTTGTCCCATCAAGTCTAAGGGGAGCGTGAAAATAAGGTGCGGAAACTCCCCCAGTAATACCTCAGTGAGTATTTCTCGTGTGGGATACAGTGGTACGGACCCAGCAGATCCATTATAGGAGGAGAAATTGAGAAATCCAGTCTAAACATTTATACCTTGCCCGATCAGGTAGCGAAGTCAGTAGCCGGACGTAAATAAAATGGAAGGGTTCTCTCCCCTTACCCAGTCGTTATGAAGTCTTGTCTCCCTTGCATACCAGTGAGGTACTATACCAGTGTACAAGAGCTGAAGCATCAGCGGAAACCCAGCACGTGACACGTAACTCCATATCGCATTGAATGTAGGAGGGACGCCCCTCTATACAGACCTTGTTGGCCTGTACAGGTACAAGCCTGTGTGCTGAGCAACGGGGAGGAACAATAGTGCGTGAGTGCATGAGAGCCGCACCTCTAATAATGTAATCGAACTTTGTGTCAGCAGCAGGCTTATAGTAGGAGCGGCCGTACCCGTTAATAACAAAAGGTAGTGTCTAAGTCTGTGTCCAGTTCTTGCTATGAGAGTGGGGCACACTCAGAACCGATCTCCTGTATCCATCTCAGTATCGGACTGAGGATGGAGGAGGGTCACGCCCTCTAATAACGAATCAGTGTCTGGTTCAGAATATGAGAAGGGCTCGTGTAAATAAATATCAGTCTCAGGCCGAGGTGATGGAGGGCCGCACCCTCTTGCAATCCCAACTAGAGTCCATATCAGACTTGGGGTGACCAACTGCAGGGTACACCATTTAATAATATCAGCGTAGGACTGAGGTCCTGAGAGGGGTCCCGAGACCTCTCTGAATCACTCACCTGAGAGGGGGGCATCAACTGGTAATAAACCCGACCAATGGTAGATGGGGTAGTCTACGACCCTGAGCCGTGCCCATCTTTAATAACATAAAGGGATGACGAGAGATTAACCTTCTGAAATAATGATGGAATCTACGAACAGACCGCCCATGATGACCGTCGGTAGCCTGAGGAAAGCTGGAGACTTTCTCCGCGATCCACGAGAGCCCGGGAGGTCGGAGGAGGCCAAGTCAAGCCTCTCGACGACCCGAGCGATAGGAAAATTGGAAGGCACGGAAACAAAGCAATGACAATTGATGTAGATAAAAGGTAAATACGTACCTCGGAGAGAAGTTAAATGGTAGATCGGAGAAGCAAGTCAAGGAAAACCCAATTGAAAGCAAACCACTGTTTTTGCGCCAGTGGTTCTTCAAAAGTTCTTGCCCCTAGGGCATGAGGTTTAGCACCTTCACCCTTCCAATCACCTTTAGGTGGCCATATACTGGTGTCCTCTTGGATAGTATGGCAGCAGTGATTGCCTTGACACCCCTTATCTCCATGTCAATAGAGGGTACTGGGCTGTCCTCTGTGATATTCCCCCAGGCCTGCGGCCAAAGGGTGGTTCGGGCACCGATAGATCAGGCCAAGCAATGGGGCACAGACTTAGCAGGCCAATTACAGGTGTAGTGTTCTGCCAGCAGCAGGAGACCAAACAGCACGGAGAGAGAGCGATATGTAACATAATCCAATCAAATTTGCCTATTAGCAAACCTAGTTGCTGAAGGACTAGAAAAATAAAACATAATTTGCCATGATATAATACCTTTGTATCTATCTAGGCAAGGTTAGAAGAACTTTATTATATGACAGTGTTTTAAACTTCTGTAATTCCTGAAGTGACTTGCCTTAGGGTGAACTATTTCCTGGCATCTTTATGGTGTTATAGCCCCTACAACTAACCCAGCCATTACAGGACCTACCATTAGGTCCTAGTCACTAAGTGCTCCTTCGTGATGCCCAAGATGATGGGGAGAAGAAGGAGCAGCTTCCCTCACCCGGCCGGTGTAACCCACGTACGGGACAGTCGGATCTGTACGCCGGGGTCCCGGCACTCAGAGGTCTCATAGGGGGCTGGATGCCTAAAGCCTCCTGAGACCTCCAAACAGCATAACCCGCCGACCGTAAAGCGGCAGAGGGAAAGAAAAGGGGGAGGGGGGAGAAACAGTAGAGGGGGTGGATATAAGCAGTCCCAGAAGGAAAATGGCGGTGCAGTAAAGTACATAAAGGCACCGAAGGAATCCAAAAAGGCACAGTAAGGTATATAAAAGCTACATACAATGTATACTGCAAGGTACATACAAAGTACATATAATATACTGCAAGGTGCATAAAAGGCACATGGATATATAAAGGCACAGTAAGGCCCACCAGACCCCCCATGAATCCAAAGATAGTCTAACACACATATAGGAAAGCATAAGCTGCACAGAAAATCCCGCCCCCCTCCCCCCCCCAAAAAAAAAACCTCTAAAAACAAGTGTAAATAAGTAATAAATCCCACTAATATTAGCAGGAGGTAGTGGTACTCTGACCTGTACTGACTGCGGAGCAGCAAAGAAAGGGGCAATGATGCATGGGGAGGGGAGTTTTATAGTAACTTCTGATTGGTTGTTTTCTGTGCTGCTGTGGAGTTCTAGTAAAGAGAGACTTAAGCAAATACGAAGCTTCCTGTCATGTTATAAAATTTACCTACAGCAGGCTCCCAGCCTAGGAGGTAAATTGCCTGCACACTTCCACTTCTGGGTGGTCCTCCTAACTTTTTCTGCCACTTTTTATATATGAAGAGTATTCTGGATTTCTTCCGTCTAAATTGTTTTTTTTTTTTTCAAATGTGAGAATATATTAAACACCTTTTTTAGTTCAAATTTTAGAATAATTTTATAGGAAACAATGTAATAATCCTGGACAGATTCGAGACCAAAAAAGAGTCCCCTTTTCAGAACCCATTGATGAATCTCATCGACTGTAAACAGATGCAGTTAATGTGTCTCAAGGTGGAATACAGATCTGGGTCATTTTAATGGAAGCCCTGGGATTTCTAAGGTTTATACAGTTGAGGAATGCACTGCGTCCTTGTTTCTCCATGGTGAGATTATGACCCATTCCGAATTAGACCGGTTAGGTAGACGTGTAATATTCACCAGTAGGTGTTGGTAATGTTATGTAGTGCAGAGAAGACTCACATGTTGGTGAATAACCCCGTACAGAGACGGCACTGAATGATGGATGTAAGAAATCCACCGGTTTTGCTGCTGTCCAGGTTATGAATGGACGAGCACTATATTCAGGTTCTATACTGATGGCCGTTCTTGATTTGCGAATACTGCCCTAAGCATGTTCTCCATTTATACAGGTTTCCTAATAGTGTTTTTAAAATGTCTCTTGGTTTAAAGTCACGGTGGGCTTATATTCTGACCTCTAGAGTTTTATCTTCCTAGAACTCTTCACATTTCAGATGATGTTATTCTTGTAATCTGCTCCTCTTACCCATCATGTGATTTTTCTGTCTCTCTCCATACAGAATGACCATCCTCCCACCCACCGATAAACTGAAGATTCTCCTGGAGCGTCTCAAGGATTTCCACCAAAAATTCACCAAGGAATATTCCTAGATTATTCTCCTGCACCCTGCTGTCCTTCCTAAAACTGAGGCATTAAGTCTATTATCCCCGCTCTGCGTTCTATTGGTTTCCCTTTCAGCATTGGGTGCTGAAGTGCTTTTAATGTGCCATACTCGTAGGGAGTGTCCATAGTGTGCCCGCTGTAGTTTGATGATGGACACATTCCCTGCAGAGGAATGTACTCTTCATTTTAGGAATGGGCACCTAGGGTCCCTTGTCACGAGCAGATCATTTAATTTTCTCTGTGTGCTTCTGCTCGTGTTTAATAATGGATGCTTAGAAATATATTTAAAATCCTGGTAGGCCTGTCTGTTCAGGTAAGTGGTGGCACTAAGCGGAATAAAGACATTTGTAGCTTGTATGCCAGAGCACTGATTGCTGCCACCCTCTGACATGGCATTATTGTCCTGGCTAGTGCTTTACAAGAGTCCTGCTGTTAGTCACAATGTGCCTAAATCTTAAGGAAAGGAGAGATTCATTCTTCACAAATCAAGATTTGCACGATCACCATTCTTGCTTCCTAATCTCCTTGTGCCAAGATAGGGTGCTATCTTCGCTGCCCTACTTTAGAAGAGGGTGATTGATTTATTTATTTTTTTTAAATCTAGTCACATGGTGATCCAGAGGTCTTGGCACTAGTTCTCGGGCCTCCTCCGGGGTCATGGCTCTACATGCTGCTCCAAACATAAACCTAACGGAGAATAAAAGGTGCTATGCAAAACCTCAAACTAAAATGCCCAAACATTGTCCTGGTGGCAGCCATCTTGGATACGTTACAATGAGAAACCCCTCTGCAGAATGTCAGATAAAAGAAAGACTTGCTCCGCTACATTATCCTTTTATGCCCCACCAAATATTACATGTGGAAAATAAATTGCTAGATATCCTGTATGTACCCGATGCCATTTTAAAATAATTCTATGAAAATCCAATATGGCTTCCTCGGACTGACGGGCCGACACGTCCTGTTCCTTGACGGTTTCCGTTGTATTAAACGTAGAATGTCTTAAGATGTTTGGCTACTACTTGATTCTCTGTGAAAGTATTTTTTAAGTGAGATGTCACCTAATGAGAGACCAAATCTGGTTTCTTCTCATACAAAGGGCTAATGTGAATGTCTTAAAATAAACCAATAAAGATTGCAATTTGAAGAAACTTGTGAATTAAAGTCTTGGTGTGTGATAGTCTTTACTGTTTGTAGGGTTTTATTTCAGATTTTGATAATTAAATAACAGTAAAAAGGTGAATTTATTTCACTTTGAGAAAACCATACCCTTAATAAAGGCAGTGGTTTTTTTTTTTCTCGTTGAGATTTAAAATGAACTAGGTTTCTCTGAATGTTATTTTATGGTAAACCTTCTTTAGACGTGTATTGGTTGAATGGTTTCCCTCTAGGACTAAAACCGGTTTCCAGAGCTTGGATTACCTCCCAGGCACAGGGGAGGAGTTTGTGTGTAATTGTATGGAGACCCCCTGCTGGGGGTCTGTGTATAACTTGGCTGTACCATGTCCCATTAAAACACATTCCTGTTTTATCCTTCATCAAGTCTTGGCTGATGTTTGGGTAACCAAGGGCTCTGAATATTGTTTCACTTGGGATGTATTCAGTCGGAGTATAGGGGATCCGTTACAGTCCTCTTTAATATCTTTTTTAGATAAACACCTTCTACGACTTATTGCACTATTATCTGTTCTTATGTTTTTTTTCTTGTGGATCTCTTATTGAATATTGAACGAGTGTATATACAAGTTGAAAAAACAAAGTAGGTATATGTGTATTTATATACCACATCATAAGGGTATCTTATATCACATTGCCAATTTGCACCACTAGGTGCAGTTTATCACCTGCTGTTGTGCCATATACGTGCAGACAGACAGCTGGTAATTCAGTTGAATCTGAGCATTCTGCTCTGTATTCTAATAATTTGGCTCTGGATTCCAGCTGTTTGAAAGAACCTGAATAGGTTGAAATCTGATCTACATCCTTTATAATACAGTATTGTGACTGCAACATCTAGATATTGAGAAATCTTGATACAATGTCAGAATTTAGTCTCAATGTACCAGATATTTTTGTTAATCCGGATCAGGGGAGTCGGACTTAAAATAAATAATCCCAGAACAGACAATTGTCAGGATTACTAATTGATCCAGCACATAGAATTGTATCACACCTGGGACTAGAAGGTAACGACTTACTGGGCCTTAGAATGGCCGGACTTAACGCACCAAAGAATAGTCAGGATACTTGCAGAGGTCAGGGGACACAGAATAGGATGCAAAAATAAGGGAAAGTCTGGTATTAGGGATGTCAAACAAAGCCAAAGTCAATAACCAGAAATAAACGCTCAGGAACACGCTCTCAGACAACCACTAAGAGAAAGCACGACAGGGCAATGAGGAAAAGGCAAAAGGAGTTTAAATAAGCTTTTTACAATTTTGATTGGCCGAAATCGGCCTTTGACCCAAGAAAGTGCGCACGTGTCTCCCGCATGACGTCACATGCACACTGATGTCGTCATCACCGTGGGCAGACGTGGAGCTATAATTTGCCGTGGATCCGCAGCAGCCGGCGTCCATCAACCTGTTGCAGGAGTCAGTTATGCAGATGCACGGCTGCTGGGCGCAAATACTGAAAGGTGAAAAGGAATATGTTACATTACCCCCCACTTGAAGACCACCCACTGGGCTGGTAGGCCCAGGCCTAATAAGAAATTTGGCGTGAAAAGAACCAAATATTGCAAAGCGCCCCGAGAAAACCTGGAGTCAGTTATGGAGGAGACCTCATGCTCCTCCTGTCCAGAAACAACTAAGGGAGGAGGGGGAACACTTGGGACAGTATACCTATTGCAAATAAGTGGTTTGAGCAAGAAGACATGAAAGGTGTTGGGAATGCGTAGAGAGGCAGGACGCGCCAAAGAATAGGAGACCGGATTAATCCTCCTAGTGATACGGAACGGACCAAGAAATCTGGGGGCAAACTTCATGCTAGGAACGTTTAGTTTAACATTGCGTGGTGATAACCACACCCACTCACCCACTTGGTAAACAGGGTTGGCACCCCGCCGTTTATCAGCATAGAATTTGAAATGCCGCAGCTTCTAGAGCAGAGTGAACCTGGGTCCAAGTATCACGAATAGAAGCAAGGTGATCATCCAAAGCAGGGATCGCTGTGTCAGAAAAAACAGCTGGCAGCAGAGTAGGATGACGACCATTATTAATAAAGAAAGGATGATGACCAGAAGAGTCATGATTAGCATTGTTTCTAGCAAACTCGGCCCAGTGTAATAATTCGGACCAATTATCTTGAGTGCTATTAACAAAACAAGGCAAATACTATTTTAATGACTGATTAGCCCTCTCAGCCGTGCCATTGGTTTGGGGATGATAAGAGGAAGAAAATGACAATTCAATGCCCCACTGTTTATTGAAAGTCCTCCAAAACCGAGACACAAACTGAGAACCTGTGTCAGATACAATATTGTGAGGAATGCCATGTAAACTGACAATTTCACGTATAAAAATAAGAACTAGGTATTGAGAAGAAGGCAATTTTTTGAGTGGAACAAAATGAGCCATCTTGGAAAATCGGTCAACCAACATAAGGATGGTGGTATAGCCATTAGAACTAGGAAGTTCTTCAATATCCAGGAGGAAGTTGGTACATGATCAGGATAAGAAGCATACGAAAAAAATAATAAAATCAATAATAGAATTGCAATATCAAAGGAATAGTGATGTCGCGAACCCGAAATTTTCTGTTCGCGAACGGCGAACGCGAACTTCCGCAAATGTTCGCGAACCGGCGAACCGCCCGAAACGCCATTGACTTCAATGGGGAGGCGAATTTTAAAACACACAGGGACTCTTTCTGGCCACAATAGGGATGGAAAAGTTGTTTCAAGGGGACTAACACCTGGACTGTGGCATGCCGGAGGGGGATCCATGGCAAAACTCCCATGGAAAATTACACAGTTGATACAGAGTCTGGTTTTAATCCATAAAGGGCAGAAATCACCTAACATTCCTAAATCACAATCAATATGGATTGACACCTGACATATGACATATTGACACCTTGACATATGGATTGACACCTGTCCTCAGAGCCCCTGATGCACACGGACACAGAGCAGAATAGAGACTGGTCCCCTACATAGGGTCACTTGGCAAATATGGATTGACACCTGTCCTCAGAGACCATGATACACACTGACACAGAGCAGAATAGGGACTGGTCCCCCTACATCGGGTCACTTGGCAGATATGGATTGACACCTTGTTACAAAATGCTATTTGTAACGGGCCCTTTAAATGGCAAATTGCCCTGCTTCCCTGGGTTGTGGAGAAGCCTACTTGCCAGCCTCCTCCCGCATGACTATGGCCCCTGGGAGATTGTGAAAATGTATGCACTTTTATTTGGTGTGTATGGCCCTTTAAGACTGTCGGTGGGCATATTGGGGCTTATGGACTCTTTATGTGACTGGTGCTGGCCCTTTAAACACCTTTTTGGGACATCAGGAAGATTGGGACACTGCCCCTTTAAGGCTGTGTCCCCAGACTTGTTGGGGACACGGCCCCTTTAAGGCGGTGTCCCCTGTGTCCCCAGACCTGGTGCAAACCCTTTGTGCCTGCCTTGCTATTTCCCACTTGGTTCAGTAAATGGGAAATTATTTCAGCTGCAGAGACTAAGTCCCATTCGGCGATGGGACTTAGTCTTTTTTTCAGCCGTTTTTTTCAGCCTTATTTCAGCTGCAGAGACTAAGTCCCATTCGCGATGGGACTTAGTCGTTTTTTCAGCCTGAAATAGACCGACCTCACAGCCCAAATCTATGGAACTGTTTTGGGCAGGAAAATGTGCTTGCGGTCGGTCATAAAGGGACCTCCAGCTAACTTTTTAACCCCTGGATGGATTTGGCTGATTTTTGGTTATGTTTATGTTTTAAGTGTGCTGATTCCAAATATGTAATTATGAAGATGGGATGTGTAGTTTTAAAGTTACAGTGTATGGCTAAAAACTGTATTTTTACTGCCTGTGTTTAATTATGTTAATCTCTTCCCAAACGTCATTTCGTTCAAAGTGGAGAGAATGTTAAAAAAATATATTTTTGTTCGGAGTGTGAGAAATGCTTTTCAGCCGCTTCTAATCTTAAGCATCATTTGAGGAGCCATACAGGAGAGAAACCTTATTTGTGGTGTGTTTAGTATTGTTCTGATCAGTTTAATACCTTCCGCGTCTCCTATCAGTGGGCGTGTATATGGCAGCCATTTTAGGAACCGTACACCTGGGACCCGAGCAAGGTCACCTCGTTCAACAGGCGACATTTGTCCCTGGAAAACTATCCTGGACATTCTGTACAATTTGTATGGATATGGCAGTGATTTCTGTAACAGGGAGATGGAAGAAGATGCTTGGTGGGTCCTCTTAATTCAAATTTGGGGCACTGCGCGGTCAAGCTAATGTGCCACCAGATAGGAGTGGTGTGTTTAGTATTGTTCTGATCAGTTTAATACCTTCAGCGTCTCCTATCAGTGGACGTGTATATGGCAGCCATTTTAGGAACCGTACACCTGGGACGAGCAAGGTGCACCTCGTTCAACGAGCTTGCAACATATCCTCAGGAAGAAGAGCCTGAACCCTTACGGCCTTGCGTGTCTTACCTGTACATGGAAAGCTGCACTGTGGTTCCTTGATGAGCCAGCTGCCCATTGTGAAGGAGTTATGTCACGTGGAGAAGCACACTGTCCTGGCAAAGCCTCACAAAAAAAGGGTGGTGTGTTTGGTATTGTTCTGATCAGTTTAATACCTTCGCGTCTCTATCCCGGTGGGCGTGCTTTGCGGCATTTGATTTTTGTAACAGGGGAGATGGAAGAGAGGCTTGGTGGTCCTCTTACTGCAAATTTGGGGCACTGTGGCGGTCAAGCTAATGTGACACCGAATGAGGGTATTGTGTTTAGTACTATTTTATCAGTTAATACCTTCCGCGTCTCTCGGTGGTCGTGTACACGGCAGTGATTTCTGTAACAGGGAGATGGAAGAAGATGCTTGGTCGGTCCTCTTAATTCAAATTTGGGGCACTGCGCGGTCAAGCTAATGTGCCACTAGATAGGAGTGGTGTGTTTAGTATTGTTCTGATCAGTTTAATACCTTCCGCGTCTCCTATCAGTGGTCGTGTACACGGCATTGATTTTTGTAACAGGGAGATGGAAGAAGAGGCTTGTCGGTCCTCTTACTGCAAATTTGGGGCACTGCGCGGTCAAGCTAATGTGACACCAGATAGGAGTGGTGTGTTTAGTACTATTGTTATCAGTTTAAT